AAAAACCATGATTTTGATTTATAACTAATTTATTTAAAAACCAGTCAATAACACTAGTTAAGATTTATCTAAATATTCATGTATACTTGAATATTTATTATTTTTTTTTAACTGTCTGATTTTATGATCAAAAATATGTAAAAAATGTTATATTGGTTATTTTTTCAACCAAAAAAAAAAAAAAAAATTAAATAATATTTTGAATATACGTGTAGTAGGACTAATATTTACTAATCAAACATATTTTTCTACTCTTCATAATTTCTAAAAAAAAATTAAAATTGTATGCAATTAATCTAATTAAGATAACAATATTTAAAAAATATTGTATTTATGGTAAGGAAAGTGTTTATAATGAACCACCTATAGGCTATATTACCAGTAATTTATCAGTTATTGTTTCTTTATTGAATGTGTAACCTATTTATTATATTTCAGATATCGTAATAACACATACGTGGAAAATAATATAATATGCGTATTATTTGTTTTTTTTTTTCAAATAAACAAAATCAATAAATAATAATATTAAATTAATGAAATTCATAAAATGTATTTAAAAAAATTTTAAAACAACGAAACTTAAAATAAAACACACACATGATATAAATAAAGCAATTAATTTACATTACATGTGTAAGGGTGGTAGTATTAAATGAAATAATTGGACCTGTAGTACAAAATAAAAATAAAAAAGAACATCTAAGTAACACTAAATTATTATTTCCTCATTCGCCTAAATATTGTTCATCTAAAATTTACACAAATTTTAAAAATACTCGTAAGTAATTCTTTATATAGATTAGACTGAACAATAAGTTTATAATAATGTTAGATATCAATAATAAATGTTTTAAATTTAAAAGAAATCAGTTAAAATATTCAATTATTTTCCTTATATAGTCACAGTTTAAAATCAAATTCAAGGTTATAATATATTCTTGGTGTTCTATACGTAAGATATAACTTAAGTGACTACTGTTATATAGTAATATATAAACATGTATATATTGTATATACATATACAGAGTTGTATTTTCCGAAGCGAATCGGGGTCTTTCGGTCCCCAATGTAATAATAGGATCGGAAGAACTTAATTAGCCTGGATTGATTTGGTATAGAAAACAGGATTTTCGTTGGCCCGGTACCAACAAATACTCGGCTGAAGGAAAACGTTGCCCAGTTGGCCCCGATATAGGAACCAAAATTCCAAACCCTTAAAGTGCCATTCTTTCTTATACGAGATATTATTGTGTCTATTAAATATGATAATCAAATAAGTACATAATATAACTGTTAGTCTTTTTCTTTATTTTTAATGGCATTTCAAGTTGTTTGGAGTAAATTATTTTTTTGATTATTAGGTAATTTTATTATTATAAATTTTATAATGGAATATATTATAAATGTACAAATGAATAATTTTTAACTTAAATAATATCTACATAACACATGAATAATAAATTTATTGTAGGAAATAAAGAAAATTTTGGCAGTATTTACTGTTGTTCGTTATAAAATAATTAGAAGATTTTATCAAGAGTTCAGTGGTACCCAGGTATTTTAAATACTTAGGAGATTTACGTCAATGGTATGAAGATATTTTTTAAGTCTACATCTGATTCCACATTTTTTAGCACTCTGTTTACTGATCCTGACATACCTATTATAATAATGTTATTATATACCTAAATAAAAAATAGATTGTTTAAATTGTATGTATATCATTAAAAAACAATGTAATACAAGAATTAATAATTACATAATAATATTCATATAATACCTAGTAATTATAATAAAACCTATCAAATCACGTGCCTTAATAAGTAGAAACTTAATATAATAAAGTATTAATGAAGTATATAATATACTAAACTCTTGAGTTGTATTGTTTGTAACTTAATTTATATTTATCTAGATAAAATTAAATAGTAAATACCTATCAAGAGTTATTAGATAATTTTAACAGTGATAGTATTATACCTTAGGTATATGAGCGCCTAATATTATTTTCATAATTCCAAGTTCCAATAAATATTATAAAAATATGAAATACCTATTATACTCATATGGTATTTCTATAAAATGTATTTGTATTACTATGTAGAAAATCAACTTCTTTTATTGGCAAAATTAAACTTAAAAAATAATTAGTCAAATACATACAAACTAATATCCTAATACTCGTATACATTTTATTATATACACATTAAATGATAAAATATAGACTATATAGACAATAAGCCAATAAACCTTATAAATCTAATGGTGATACGAAAAACAGTTATCAAATAATTTTATGATACCATATATTCATACAACCGTATTTACAGAATATTATGTCATAAGCCAGTTATAATACTACCTATGTGTATATTTATAAGTATAACTACAATATGATTAAGACACTTGCAATTTAATGTGATGACATATTATTATCACGTAACTGTGACATCTCGAAAATTAATAATAATAGTCACAACATGCAATGTCACTTGTATAATATATATTATGTATATATTTATGCATAAATTTTTGATATCAAAATATTGTGGATATTGATGAAATAATTTTTCAAATATCACTTACGTTTACAAATCCACGTAATATAATATACACGATAAGTAATAAACTGTTCGTTTTAGTAAATGTTATATTATAATATGGAACTTAGCCATTTTATTGTTGCTGAATTTTAAGTTTAAAGTTTACAATGATGGGCAAAACTCATTTTTTCGTTTGATCTTTTTCATATGCTACGATCCTTAAAAATAGCTGTGGATTGTTGTAACTATAGTGACATCACCAATTTAATCAACAATCTTTAGGATAAATACAAAAAACAATAATGAAATATAATTAATAAAATATTAAGCACGTGGAAACGTTATATTGTAAAATGGTAGAAAACAGACACCATGGCATATATTATAACGGTATCAAATACACACCCGAAACGGGGATAAGAATATGAGAGCGTCCACATTCAGTATTAACAAAAACTAGTATTTATATTAATTCCTATGTAGCAATAAAAATTATATGTTATTAAATTATGTTTTTTTTTTTTTTAATAATATGTAGAAATAAGATATTTCTATATATATAATATATATACTATACTCGAATTGAATTGTTTCATTATTTATCTATATCTAAATAAAAATAATATATATATCTGAGCACGACACTGCAATAAACTTTTAGTTTTTTGTTTGAAAACACAAAATAACGAGTTTTTGTTAATTATAAAATAACAACAATTAAGTATAACAAGAAAGGTATAATAAAAATATATAGTAAATACTATAAACACGTAATTGTATAAAATTAATCTAAAAGTTTTATTTTGTGCATACAAAATATAATAATATTACACATAAAAGTTTCAAATTTCTACAAAAATATTTTTAAATTACATTAAAATAACTAAAGTCTAACCTAACTAACGTTATTCTTTACTTATAAATCGAATTTTGTCCAAATTATAACTACAAATAACTTTTTTTTGATGATAGATATTATGCATTATACTTATGAGAAACTTTATATACAACTTGAAGTCTTAAATAAAAAATTTTAAACTTTGTACGTTCTTAACTACAAAATAATTATAAAAGGTTGGTATTAAATTTTTAAGTTTTTTCACCAACCAATGGATTTAAAAATGTCTGTGATCTATAACCAATGGATTTAAAAATATCTAAAAGAAGTTTTTTTTTTAACTAATCTACAAATCGAAAATAATAATTTAATCCCTTAGTTAAAATATTATATTACTATAGTTATTTTGTTTTTTAATTTCAACAAAATAAAAAAATTCGTTTGAGGAAAAATAGTTATTTTAACGAAATTTGTTGAAATTCTTACTTAAAACGCTTTGAATTTTTTTTATAAATTTACAATCTAATTTTATTTTATTAAAAACTTATAAAGAATCTTGTATATAATTTTTAAAGTTTTTAACTAAATTAATTTTATTTGAATTAAAAAAATTAAATGAGCTATAAATAGCATAAAAACAGTCAAAATATTTTGAAAATTATGCCAAGAAAATTATTGTTTAAATATATTGTATATATTTAAATAATTTTGGTTTTTTGTTTAGGAGATATTTTAAAAAATATTTTGATTTTATTAAAAATTAAATTTGATCAAAAATTCCTGATTTTTTCTATTTTTTTTTTTTTTTGTTCCTATTATTAAAAAAAAAAAAATTCTGGAAACTTTTTACTATTAACCCCTTAAAATACACTCTAGATCAAATTTACTACTATAGAAATTCGTATAGTTGAATATTGAAGCATTTTTATTGCTTTAAAAAGTGATAACAGACATAAAAAATAAAATATTTAAGAAAAATACTACAATACATATTTGTAAAAGCAATACATTCCTTGTTTCGTTCAGAACTTAAAATAATCAATAAATATCAAATGTTTACGTGTAATGAAAAGTTAGAAAATATTTTGAAAATTATAGTAATTATAGAAATCTTTATTGTACCTAATTATTTCGTGTAAATTTTAAGTATCTATAGTAATTTGTATTCAAGCTATATATATATATATATAAAAACAAAATCAATTTTGTTAAAAATTAGTTTTGCATAGCTATAAGCTATAGTTAGGTTTTGAACTCTAGTTTCCTTAATTTGTTTTTTTAAGTTATTCAAAAAAAAAAAAAAAAATGAGAGTTTTTAATTTCGATTTCTCAAAAGCATCCAGTAATTCTATTTACTGGGCAGAAAATAGTTAATAATTAATACTCAATGTTTATTAATATCAAAACATGTGTGTTTTATTACTCATAAAGGTAATAAGTGATGATAGATCAAAAAATAAAAACACATATAATTGTAAAATAATTATATTTAAGATTATTCATTCTACTCAGATTCTAAAATTTATAAAATATATGGGAACATAAACATACACCCGTATAAATCATTTTGATTATCTGTAAGCTGTATTTCATCGTCAATTTATTTTTATTTTTAGGCAGATCACATTCTAGAGATTATACCATGTTTCGAGAAGGCACGCCAGCATCTGAAAGTGTTCGTATGTTTGCCAAGACCGGACGTAGTGACAAACTGGATGATGGCAGTGGTGAAGGTTTGAATGGAGTGAATGGTGGAGCAATCGAAGATATGGTACTGAACACATTTATAGCGCCTAGCGTATCGACAGGAGCTGCTTGGACTCAATCACAGTTCTTCGTAGATGGAAACCACTCTAGAGTAAGTTAAACATATAATAAATAAAAATATTAGATGTTATACTTTTAATAATTTAATAACTATAAAGTTGAAGATGATTAAATAGTGCGTCATTTGATGAATTTTGACAACTAAAAATAATGAATCATAATTGTTTTATCAATTTATCAAAAAATTTAAATAAAGAACCAGTTAAAACTGACATATTTATGTATAATAATTATACACATATCCAATCACTGATAGGTAATATTTTAAATGATATTTTAAAAATATAGAATATTTAAAATAAATAACACAGTTAATATTATACCTATAAAATATTCATCAGATATTAATAATAAGTAATCAATTCATGGAATCGGGGATACTATGAAATCTAAACAAACACAGAATAGCTCTATATTCCTCAAAATCCAACCAAATTTTTAGCAAGATTATTTCTTTTATTGAAAATCGTATGCAAATTGTAGCTTACAAAGACATTTGGTCTATTACACGTTGGGGGTTCCTCAAGGTTCTAATTTAGCACCAATATTATTTCTTATATTCATTGATGACCTCAAATTATTCCGTATAATCAACAATCGAGTCGAAGTTGATTTACTACAATCTGATTTAAATATTCTCTATGAATGGTACATAAAGAATAATTTTACTCTTAATATTAGTAAATGTCAGATAATGACTTAGCCTAGCTAGAGTAGCCTCGAAATTTTAATATGATATAAATGGTGATTCACTCTATCGTTCTATGGAAGCTATTAAAGACCTCGGTATATTTTTCGATCCTAAGCTAAAATTTGACTGTCATATTAACAGAATTGTTAGCAAATCAAATCAAACCTTTGGTTTTATCCGTCGAAATTGTATTGATTTTAATGACACATTAGCTTTAAAGTCCATATTGCAGTCTAGTACGTTATATTTCTGAGTATGACTCAGTAATTTAGTCTTCTTACACGTCTGTTCATAAATATAAAATTGAGAAAATCCAACAAAAATTCTTACACTTCCTCTCTTTTAAATGTTCCATTTACAGAGAACCTCATTCCACATATATTCCACTTTTAATATTTCTATCCCACAAAACTCTTGAATAACGTCGCATACGTTTAGATATATATTTTGCGTATAAGCTCTTCGCAGATAATTTTGATTGTCCTGTTTTCTTAAGCCGTTTCTCTTTCTACACTCTTACTCATAACATCTGGTCTAAAAACACATTTTATTTAAACACAGAAGTAACTAATTATGCAAGCAACACCCCTACAACAGAATTATGAAAACCATAAATGAATTAAAAATAGATCTGTTCATATCACTAAACTTTAACTTGTTTAAAATATATCGTGATTCCATACTTTGAAATATATAGCTATTAGTATTATAATTGTTATATTTTTTATATTTTTTTTTTCATTAATTTTTCCTTTTATTTATAGATTAATATTATATTAACGAACGATTACTTCTAATGTATTTAGGCCTAAGGCCCGTTTAAAATTTAAATAAATAAATATAAAACATGAATTTTAAATTCATGTTTATTATATAATGTATTTATTATTTAATCATTACTTGATTTCCACACCTCTCTCAGTCATAATAAGTGCGAATAATCGACGCTTCACTGTAATGTATATAGTAGATACTTATGTATAATATATTAATTAAAAGTATATGATATTATTTTTAAACTAAACAAAGAAATATAATATTATGTATCAAATAAATTAAATAGTTTTTTTTTTAAATTTATTATTATTAAAATGTTTTAGCACATTAAGTGCTGTTACAAGTACGGACAAATTAAATAGTTATAAACCCATTTATACCAGTTAATTGCAATAGTTGAAAAAATGTAAATATGTTCCTACACAATTGAGTTTCTAGGATTTTTTATCATCATAATAATTAACAAGGCATAAACTATAATTATTATTTATTACTTTGTGATATTACGGAATATACTTATAAAATATACGAGTACATATAAACTTAGCTCATCAACTGTGTAATATCATTATTACTTTTCATTGATATTACATTTTAAAAATTTTAATTAGTTTTGAAGAATAAAGATTCACATGTGACATGTGTATATGATAGATAAGTACTTAATTGTAGATTTAACTTAATTATATAAATATTTATTTTTTTTAATATGGAATAATTTATTTATATAATATATTTATTTATTCTGTTTATAAATAATTAAATAAATTATGTTTATATCACAAAAATTATAATAAACAAACATTCATATTTAATACCAAACAAAGATTCCTTTGAAAAAAAACAACTTCAATAATATGTATGATTGATAAATAAACCGTCAGGCATTAAATATATGTGTTGAATCAACACAGGGCTTGCAAACGTTATAATAACGTTGTAATCATAATGCTATGTTTAACAAAAAACGATTGAAATTTGTAAACGTAATTGTAACGGAAAAAGATATACATTATACATAAATAATTAAATAACACAAAACAAAACATAAAGATTAACAAAATATATGATATATCATCAAACAAAACATAACGCAAAATGTCAATTATAGTATATCATTAAAAATTAATTTTAATTACTTAATAGTTATAAATTATAAATTATAAATTATAATAAAAATTTTAATTTTAAATAACGATTAACTCAAAATTTGTATAAAGTTCAAGTGTAAATAACGTATAACAATTTTTTTTTTCAATTGCAAGCCCTGGTGTTGATTCATTTTATACATTTTATAGATATATAATTCGTCAAATATAATAATAAATACTTATTGTAATTTTAACCATTCATATAAACAATATTACCTATATAACAAGTATAATAATGCAAAAACGTATTATTCAAATACTTTGTTATAATATAATATACCTAACTTTATGTTTTTTGTTTTTTCCTCTACAATATAATCGATATTTTCTCATTTTTGAAAAAAACTTCAGTAAAAATTCAAAGTTATTTCCCTTGTGTCTAGTTATTTGATTATGGAGAAAGTAAAGTACAAGTATTGGAGAAGTTATCAGAAGTCATAGCAGATTAAGTACTGTGGATAAAAGTAGCTAGCATATGATTTTAAATAAAAAAATAAAAAGAGCATTGAACATTTACACCATCTCTGCAATAATTGTTCGAGTGTAAATTCGTTCTGTTTATTTTATCTGAATTTCCTTTTTTTTTATCCCGTCGCACTGACTCGGCTCGATACACAGAATTAATTTTCCGCCGATTACTCGATGTTTTCTCATTCCTTCTTTTCAACTTCTACTAAATATACATAACCTCTACACCAACATCGCCTTTAATAATCGATGTAATTGAAAATCCATAGAATTATTCCAAGGATAATATCGTAAAAGTTATTTAAACTATTTCTGAAAATACAAACACGTATGTCCAAGTGTATCAATAGTAGTAACAATATACCTACTTAACACAGTTTGTTGAATAAAGTATACCTTCACGCAAGTAGGTGTATACAATGTATATGCTGTGATATTGTTCGTATTAGTATAATAAAATATTAGCAAGGTTGAAAATTATATACCTGTTTACAATTTACTCCGAAAAACCTTAGGAAACAGCAAATATCTTCAACGTATATATTTATTTATTGTATGTTCAACGGGCAAATGTCATTTAATAAAATGTAAAGTAAAAAAAAACGATTTCATCTAAAGATACCTATAGAAAATGATGAAAATTACAATAATATTTTAACAACATAAAAATACAAATTAACATAACAATTAAAGAAAAAATAAAACTACTATTCTAATGTGAGTAATTTAGAAAAAGTATAGAATTAGTTTTAAAAAAGCGGGCAAGTGGGTACCGCTCTGCTGTAAATTAGGGGGTGGGGTGAACCTCGGACTAGGGTAGGTTAAATTTGAATGCAATGATAGGTATCATTGTATACGAAAAATGATTCTAAACGGAGATGATTTGTCAGTCTAGGATATATTATATTTAAATATTGTCATACATTCTATTTTGAAACAAATATTTTATTTTTCAATTAGGACGCATTTGCAAAAGTCTTGGTTAATCAATTAATTATTAATTTTCATGAATTATACCTACAAAATAGTTTGCAAATATTCATAGTTTTGACGAATTTTTGTCAATATTTGAACTTCAAATGCTAATAAAAAAAAATTGTGCCTATGTATCGGAATTGGACGTAGTGTTGCCAAAATTTCACATATAATAGATTGTAATAACACAAAATAGGGAAATTAAAAAGTTAAAATATAAAATCATAAAATTATATGATAAAAGGTATAAGTATGATGTGGCTGGACTGACACAAGGGACACAAGCCTTGTATGTAAGTCCGGCACTAATAAATATTGAATGTACTTGTTCTCGCGTTATTACCTTCCTCCTGTTCTTCGGAGGGTTCTCGAGGTCGTGATTCGAGAATATGATCAAATACACCGTTACGTAAATTAGATGGTAAAAGAATCCGTACTAACAATAAGTATTTTGAGCATGCACCTTACCTGGTTCGCCGCAGTGAATACCTGTAGTACGTTCCTCAGAAATAGATGCAAGGTGACACAAGTTACGTTACGACTTAAGAAAAACTAAGGTTTAAATAAGAAAACAACACTGATTTAACTTATAAAAAAAGAAGTTAAGCTGTCGCTCGCAGAATCTTGTGGTGTGATATGTATGGTGGTTTTTGGGTAGAGCTCTTGCTCGCTTGTCTGGTGCGCCTGCACTTGTAATTTTGTCGGTGCTCATGCACTCGATAGTTTGGCTGGTGTTCATGCACTGATGAGAGAAGACGACGTGGTCAAGACAGTCAGGGTCTCCGACGACGGAAAGCCTCATTGGACCATCCCTTGTCTTTGGCGGCACACGAAAATAGGTCAAACGCTTTGTGCCATATGGTCGCAATAGCGTTTGGATTCCTACGTGGCCAAACAATGTAGATCGTCTCTCTCATTAGTGATCAATAGGGATTATTGGTTTTTATTGAGGGCTATCTGCGTGCGACAACTTGACCGTTACTTTATTTAACAAAATGATAAAATATACAATAAATTATGATGTGTGAGCATATCATTACAAGATCAATGTTCTATTTTAAGAATATAATTTATTAAATTATATTGAACACGCTTTAATACACTCAGTTATAAAATATGTCGCTTTACGTATAAATTATGCGAATTATAGCCGTTTTTCCAACGTCTGCTGTTGAATAACTAAGTAATATCAGATCATAGCTGAACTTCAGTTGTTGTTTATCTACCCAATCTTTAACTATTTCTCCGTCTTCAATCATTTCCCTGTATTTTAACTAATTACTCTTGTTATTGATATCTCCAATAACTATTTTTGTTTTTCATGGTTTTAGATATTGTTTCTATGAGGTTTTTATAAATCATTTTTTTCAGTTTTAAAATTAAATAAAATTAAAAATAAATATATTTTATAATATTTTTATCACTATACATTTTTAAGTTATTTTACTTTTTTAAATTACAGTATATATTTTTAATTTCTTATCATGAAGCAAAATATTTTTCAGAGTTTTTCGATACATAAAAATCAAAATTTAGACCAGCAATTTATGAGTTATAAAAATAGAGTCTAGATTTATATTCTCTAAAACAACTGCAAATATTCTGTATATGTTTACTTAAAAATATTCGGAAATATTCAAAAATATCCAAAATTATTTAAAGGAAATAGTAATTGTTACTATTTATTTTTACATTATTCATTAAATATCTAATTATACTCAAGTGGGGTATACAGTTTTGTAATAAAGTTATTGCACTAAAGTAATATACTCGTATTATATAAACAATATATTATTTAAAACATATATTTTTAATTAAAATATGAAAAATAATAATATTCTTTTATAAATCAATGAAATTAAATTTTGTATAAACCATAAAATTTTTACCGAATCTAATATAAATATTTGTTTACATTTTTTTACGCTAGCTAATGAATCATCCAAATTTTCAATATCAGATTTTATCCCTAAGTAGTGGTTTGGTCAGTGTTATAAATCACGGCTTCAAACTACGTCAATAATATCAAAATTATACAAAAAAAAAAAAAAAATTGTTGTAATTATATTCATTTTTCGTAAATGATCCAAAAAATGTTTTCCAGACGCTAATGTTTTTATTGAAATTATAAGAAATTGGCATTTTTTTTTCTCAAAATTGATCAAATATTCCAAAATATGCTAAACATGCAAAATATTCTATAACCAATAAAATATTCTCAAATATGCAAAAAAAAACTTTTTTCTGTGAACTCAGTATTTAATGAATCGTCCACAATTTTTACTCTCGTAAGACTACATAGTATATACTTAATAACAATATGTAAAAATAAATAAATCTGGATTATTTAGAATATTTAAAATTTTGGTGAGACGAATAGTAAACCTTTATTGTGCGGGATATTCCCAGACTACTCCGCTTACCAATACTTCTTATGTTTATAAAAAAAAAAAATCGATTTTGTTAAAAAAATTTAAGCAAACAAAATTTCTCATTACCCTTTCATTTTTTTCCACGATTATAAAAAGTAAGTATAGGGAATTTTTACTTTTGACCTCTTTAAAGTATAAAATAGATTCAATTTTATTTTCAAGTTCAACCTCAAAATTGAAAATCGAATTATTTTTTGATTATTTATCATGTATATATACAGAAGAAAAAAAATCAATACATTCATCGCTCAATTTAGAATATAAAAAAAAAAAAAACACTTCATAAATCTATTAATTATTACAACGATTGGCGATTGACAAAGCTTAAACATAGAGGATCTGATGTCCTAATACATAAAGTTACGCTTTAATATATTTTTCAATATATGTATAAGGCAAGTAAGGGCAAGTAGTGTGGCGCGCAAGCAAACAGTCCGCCCTTGCTGACCGGTGTCAAAATATATATATATATATGTGTATATTTTCGTTCATTTTTTAAATGAATTTTATTTGAAAACAGCTGTATAAAAATTAAGCAACACTCAAATCCTACACTTTATAGCAAAACAATTACCTACGTACGTCTTCCCTTTTTTAATGGATTTTAATATAATACATATTGTATTCTAATATACGAATATATTATAAATTTAAAAATGAAATCAATGAGTACCCAAATCTAAAATGCATATCTTAAAACTATTGACTCAATGTTAAGTCAAATTACTTAAATATGACGCAAGGTGTAGCAGAACTACGAGTGTAACAGAATCATACTAAGAGTTGTGAGGTCGTCAAAATGGACAAAATGACGAAAAAAGTAGCATAAAGATTTTGAAGACAAAAAACGTCATATTTAAAAATAATGTCACATGTGTACAATTATAACGAAAGAACAAAAATGGCGTAATATATCATGAGATCGACAAGATTCAAAAAAGTGGTTGAAGGTCAAATAGAAGTAAATCATCGACGAGTGTTCCATGATGAAGTAGCCGATAATATCGTCATTGGTATTTGGTGGTAAAGGTGGGATAGGGTTCTATCAATGAAGTTAGAAGATTAGAAGCACTGCTAATTATTGGTGAATAAGGCATGTATTGACCATACTAGTCAATGATTAGTTTAGATTTTTAGTATAAAAACTGATAAATTAAATTTATACAAATAAAGCATTAAAATACATAGGTAGTTTGGCCGTAGCCATTTTCCTCCAAAAATCAGATACCGTTTTCCTTCACGGTCCATTTTCCTCCAAAAAAATAAAAAATTATTCTTGACTATTTTCCTCCACTTTCCATTTTCCTTCAATAAATAATAAATAAAATAGTTATAGTAAAAAAATGAAATTTATTATAATATTTTGTTTTTTTGTCAGGTATTATGTTATATACAAATAAAAGAATAAAATAGTTCATATAAATAATTTATAATAGTAAAATAAAAATTAATTGACTATAATATTATATTTTTTATTATTATTGGACATTTCAGCAACAAATGAATATATGTTTAAGGAAAGGAAAATTAGACATAATATGAATAATCAATAGATAGTCGATATCAGAATGTAATTATATCGACCGATAAGCGCAAAATGCCAAAATGTGATCCTAGCCTTACTCTATCTTTATTATACGAAATATAATACAACACTGGCTAAAATATTGGAGGAAAATAGACATAATTTTAGTCGAAAATAATGTGAAGGAAAATAGAAACCAACCTTTTTTTTTTGTGGAGGAAAGTGGACCGTGGAGAAAAACGGTATCTCGTTTTTGGAAGAAAATGGAACTTCCTGGTAGTTTAAATCATTCTTTACCTCTAGGATTCTTTTTTAAATTTATACGAATACAACTTAAAGTAAATTTATAAAAAACTCGGAACCCCATTTCATTTATTTTCGCAATCTTTTTATATATTTGTTTTATTTTTATCTGTGGTGTTTTTCAAAAAAACTATTGTGTTCTCTAGGAGAAAATAATTTTATTTTAAATTGCAACATTGGTTAATTTATACTCTTTTACTATTTACGTTTAGTGTAATATGTTATATATATTATTATTTTTATAATTGATTAAATTGTAAAATCCTAATATTTATTTGTTCAGGTGTCATTGATGTCACGCATGATTCCATCTCCAGATTGGTTCATTGGTATAGATTCATTTGATTTGTGTGTGAATGGTAACTGGCTCGACAGCATCACTATTGAGGTTAGTATTATACTATTATAATATTATTATATTCAGTATCTATACACTAAATTCGTCAAAATATAAAATATAGAATATATCTTGTACTTAAAAATATGCATGTTTATACACACAAGTTGCATAATACAATTTGTGGCTTATATATATAATATATATATATATATAGTTAATTGGATATATTAAATCTATTTATGCGAGTAAATAAAACAATTTTTAAAAAATAACGTAAAGTTGATTGACTAAAAAAAGAATATAGGATGAATTTTGTTTGATTTAGAATATGAACTTCATCGTTTATACTTCATAGAATTCAACTACGAAAGTATAAATATACCGCTATGGTATAATAGGGCGTATAATTATATGCGGGTATGTCGTACAACCACTTCTCTGTTTTTCTGCAAGTGCGTATACTTATAAAATAACACGTGATACGTTGATTTACGGGTATGAAAAAAACACTTATTCTATAAGCTAATTTAATAAATAATTTTAATTAATAAATAAAAATATCGAATAAACCTTATCAATTTGACGGTTTCTTTAACCAAAACAGTTGCTTATATTAAAATTATTCATAAACCATAATATGTTATCTGGTATGATCCTAAATAAGATACACATGCCTATATAAAATAAAATATACGATAAAATTTAAAGAAATAATAATAAGAAGAAGAATTTAAAATGCAATAGTTGGCGGGAAAATCTAAATGCGTTGACAGGCCTGGGTTTGGGCACCCTTGTATTATTACTATCTGTAGCTATTAATGCGATATTATAAGAAAGTGTTGGACAATTGGGCAGTGAAAATGAACTGAATATTTATGAATTACTTGTCACGAAGAAGAAAGTAGTCAGAAATATTTAATATCTAATTTAAGCTGACTTTAAGTTAACAAGAACAAATATAATTTAAACATTTTCTTCTCCTGTAGTGTAAGTGTATAATTTATTATTTCTGTCTAAGTACACGGAAATAAATGAATATTATATTTAAAACATAATTTTAAATAAAAATAATACATACTAAGGAATATATAAGAAATAATTACAAATTTCATGGCGTTAGTGATGGAATTTGTGTATAATAATTTTGACAAATAAATAATAATATTAATAATAATATCAATTATTCCACTTTGGGAATGTTTTTTGAAATAAATACTATGAATTATCTTACAATTTATTATAAATTATTTCGATTATTATATCTCTAAAATTAACATAACAATTAATATAATTAAATTTAGACTATATTATATCTAATTGAGTAATATTTTAATATAGGCTGATCCAATCGACGCGGGATGTGACAACGGCTTCACGTTTACAGCGCCAAACTGGCCCACCGATCCACAGGGAATTGTATACCGAATAAAAAGCAACTATCCATCACACCCTGCCAGCTCTTTCTATTATCCACAGTTCAATCGATTGCCCACCATAGCGACTTTTCAATTTATAAAAGTATGATTTGATACCTATTATGGATAATATGATAGATGATCCATTGAAGTATCTATACTCATTGTTTAAAAAAATGTTAACTATTTTGAAATTATTATTTTTACATTATACGTGTAATAGTAATCTAGTTTTTAATATGACCTACGACATATACATAAAATATCACATTTACAAAAATACTTATTATTTTAATGATTTTTCCTTGACGTACTTAATATTCCTAACCTAAGTTATGTTTTTTTTTTTTTTTGTAAATGCTTTAGATCAAAGAATACGAACAGTCTTTGAATGGCAGAGGACAGGCTTCAGACCCTCCGGTAAAAATCGAAGAAAGCGTCATTAAAGTTTTAAATGGTGACAGCGATAGCGATCGAGAGGTACAATTGGAAATGGAACAACAAAGACGAGAACAAGAGTACAATAACTATAAAAGGTACCGTTACAAATTACAATACTAAGTAGTGAGTGGAATTATTCTAAATTAAGCATAAATTTTATTAATTTTTACTTAGCCATATACAGTTTAATTAGGTACTTATTATATTAACATATTATAAATTTATGTTTTTATATAAAAAAAAAAAGAATTGGGGCATTGTTACGTTTAAACCTAAGTTATTTTTTTAAACAGTAAAATATATTATAGAGTATTCTAAGTATAAATATGTATATTTGCACTATTGTACATTATGCTAGAATAAAATAAAAAATGTTAAATGCTATTTGTAACTTCCTGCATTTTTTAATATAAATACAACTATATTTTGTCATACAATTTTACAACTACTTAATCTTGAATTTCCTTAATCATAAAGTGTCCATCACTTAATTAAAATATAATATTTTGACTTCGATTGTAAAATGTTTATCATCCGAAGTAACCTTTTTTTTTTTTTAAATTATTTTAATCACCTTAGAGGGGTACTAAGCAATTAGTACTACGGGTGTAGCGAACCTGGGGCCTCGAACTACCCTCTCCATGGGTATAATGGATTTGGCGATAGGTTAACAACCTATCCTGTAAAAATCCCTTGTTCAGGAATCAATCATAAATTTGCCTCGGAATTGTAGATCAAAGGACTATAGACTGGAAAACTGGAAATCGGCTTTACGTTTTGGAATCTGGAATATACGCACTTAATGCAAACCTGGAGCAGTAGAAACAGTAGTTAAAGAGATAGAAAGACACTAGTTAGGAGTAATGACACTACAAGAAATGAGGTGGCAAGATACGGGCTCAATGCAAATAAGTAATACAACACTATTTTTTGGTGCGTGTGATGGAAGAAGACAGGCTGGAAGTGGATTCGCGGTAAATGACAAATTACTAACAGCTGTAAAAAGTTTTAAAGTTATAAACCCTAGAGTAACGTTGTTGACACTGGAGACAAAATGGTTTAGAGTAGTCTTCGTAAATGTTCATGATCCTACGGGAAGACAAGGAAGAAAGTGAAAAAGATGATTTCTACACGTTTTTAGACAATACATTGAATGAAATACCAAGAGGTGTGTACAAATCATATTAGGCGATTTTAACGCAAAAATCGGACGTGAAGAATGTTTTAAACCAATAATAGAAGGGCATAGTCTGCACCAGTTATCGAATGATAATGGGTGCAGACTTATAGACTTGGCAACGGGAAAAAATCTAAGGATTAAAAGTACCATGTTTCCACATAAGAAGATACACGAGGGTACGTGAAGATCACCGGATGGAAGACATGTGAACCATGTACTTGTAAATGAAAGATTCAATAACAGTATTTTAGATGTAAGAACCGTACGTGGAGGCGACAGCGATTCGGATCACTTTCTTGTGGCAGGCAGACTGCGAGTGAAGTTAAAAAGACGACAAGAAACAAAGAGAGAAGGAGCCATGGGACGGTTTGACATCACGAACCTTAGCAATTCAGCGGTAGTTGAAATTTTTCAAAAAGGTATAGAAGAAAAGCTAAGAATGATGATTACAAGTTAGTCAGGCAGAGAAGTAGAACAAAGGTGGAAAACAATAAAACAAATTATTCAAGAAGAAGCAGGAAAAGCAGCAGGGAAACAAAAAATAAAGAAGAATACCTGGTTTAATGATATTTGCGAAGAAGATTTAGAAAGAAGAAGGAATGTTAGAAATATATGGCTGTCCGACACTGAGAATGTGGAGAAGTTGGAAAGATTAAAAATGAAACAACGGGAAGCGAGTAACATATTAAGATGCGAAAAAAGAAAATATTTACAAAAAGTACTTAAGGGGAGGCAGAACAAGATTTTGCTAGTCACAATACAAGAGACCTATACAAAAATGTTAACTTCCTAAGTAAGAAATATAAGCAGCCAGAGAAAGTGCTCAAAAATGATGATGGAACGCTAATCACATCTAAAGAAGATATAGCGAATAAATGGGCGAACTATTTCAAGCATCTGCTGAATTGTAATATTCCAGATAGTTTATTCCACTTTGAGAATATGGAAACTAATAATACAATCTGCCTAGCACCGAGTAAGGAAGAAATTCAAGAACATATAAGAAACTTAAAGAACCATAAGGTACCCGGAGAGGATGGTATACCTGGAGAGTTACTAACAAATATGGGAAATGGCTTGCTTGAATATGTGGCCGAATTAATAAAAGAAATTTAGGAAAAAGAAGTGATTCCGGAGGAATGGCAAACAACGTTGATATACCCTATACACAAAAAGGGAGATAAGCAGGTGTGTGATAATTATAGAGGTATCGCTCTATTAAACGTTACCTACAAAGTGCTATCTAAATGTATATTAAACAGAATTAAGCCATAGGCAGAAGATATTTTAGGAGATTATCAAGCGGGTTTTAGACAAAATAGATCCACCACGGATCAGATTTTTATTCTGAAACAAATTTTCCAAAAAATGTGGGAGTTTAACAGAGAAGTACATGTAATATTTATTGATTTCAAGAAGGCGTATGATTGCATACATAGAGGATCTCTGCTGAATGTACTAAGACAGTTCAAATTACCCTAGAAATTAATTAATCTGATACAAGCAAACATCCTACACACGGAAATTAAGATCAAAGTTAGCAATATTTTATCACAAGGGATATCAATATCGACTGGTTTGAGACAAGGGGATGCTCTGTCACTCATGCTATTTAATATTGCGTTAGAAAAGGTCATCAGGGAGAGCCGTATTGAAGAAAACGGAATACGTCTGGGAGGTTGCATAATAGGAGTATTGGCCTACGCATACGACATAGTATTACTTGCGGAAAATAAGGAAAATCTCAAGGAGCAAGCGACAAAACTTCTAGATACGGTAAAAATAATAGGTTTAGAAATAAATTCTGAGAAAACGGAGTACCTAATCATGCAGAGAGGAGAGGTCGTGGATCATGTCCACCCTTTTTTAGAAGTTGGACTACAAGTTTCAGAGAGTGAAAGAGTTCAAATATTTGGGATCAATTTTGACAGAAAAAAACGATGAACTTACTGAAATAAAAGCAAGACTTCAATCCGGTAATAAATGTTACTACGGACTAAGTAATATGTTAAAGGCAAGAATAATATCGAAGAACCTCAAGATACAACTGTATCGCACCCTCATCCGTCCAGTGGTAATGTACGGTTGTGAAGTATGGACGTTACGGAAATCAGATCAAAACAGACTACTGATATTTGAAAGAAAAATATTAAGAAGAATCTTCGGACCGTGTATAGACGATACCACAGGGGAATGGAGAATTCGAAAAAACGAGGAACTTAAACAGTTGTACCAAATGCCTGATATAATTAGAAAAATTAAAAAAAGGAGACTCCAATGAGCAGGACATGCATGAAGAAAAGAAGGAACTCTAATACGAATGATTCAATGTGGGACTCCCCAAGGAAAGAGACCGTTAGGACGACCCCGACTAAGATGGGAAGACCAAGTCAGGAAGGACGTACAAACAATAAACCCAAGGGCCAAATGGAATATCATAGCAATGATAGCAATGAGTGAAATGGCAAGATGTGTGTTTGAATGTACGATCTTAATGGTCGATTGCAAAGAATAAGAAGAATAATATTTTAGTAAATTATTGAAATCGTATTAATCAAAATACTATATTAAATAATTTATAATGTTACTATTATAAGTACTCATTTCACATGAAAGGTTCTACAAGATTTGTGCTTGAAAATCACAACTTTTAATTTTATTTAAGTTTATATTATATGATACTCGTATAGGTGTTATCATGAAACGTTTTTATTTGCAATACAAATATGATAAATTGAGAGGAGAGTTATGATTAGTTAAACTTTAACATACCTATGCATTTATTTATATATTTATTTTGTTTCAAGTTTAGTATATTATATTACTTATATTATTATTGTTCACGCCGCCGCCTTCCACTGTCCCGAACCGGTCCGCGTAATCTATGACTACGGCTTTATCGACACCGCGCTCACCCGTCATATAACCATAGACTTTTTAAGTTAGTTCGTCTACGTCAGCCTTTGGATATGTGACTGTCGGAACCGTGTCTGTCTTGTGTCGTCTCTGTTATTATTGCGAACTTGCGAAATCGCTTTAGTCCGTACGCCGTATACCATTCTAAATTACGCGTCTATTATATTTGAAGTGTTCACACCATGTCGTGATTATCGGCGTCGTATTTAGATCGACTTCCCTGAGTCCCGTGGACTCAGTGCGACCTGACGTATCTGGTGTGTTCCATGCACGTTTTTCCTTTCGTTACTTCCGTTCGACTCCATAACATATTTTTAAGGAGAGTGAAATGCGAAATCGTGGCGTGGTCATCGGGATGTTAATATAGTCTATATATTATATTATTATTACATCCACGATATATACATATATATATTATACACGTCAAGTGTCGCGCCGTCGACGTCAACCCAGAAATAATCTCCAGATTATAATCGAATATTATATCTATATTCGGCGATTATAAATGGGTCATTGTCCGACGTCCGTCCTTGCGTCGCTATTTTAAATGTTGGGCTGATTAGCTGTAGCCGCCGACGAGTTACTGCCACCGCCGTCCGTATCGATTATCCACCATCGAAGATCGATAAGTTTTTGCTATTACGTATTATTATTATTTATCATATTATTCTTTGTGATACTGCTGATCCGGCGTGTAATTATTTTATTATATACAATCATATTATTTATATCGTATTGTTAACGTGGAGACGTCCACCTTTTCTTATTATTATATTTATTTTATTATTATCAATAGTATGGTGTGCCTTTGGCACTTTATCCAACATATAAATTTGCGTGTTTTTATTTTATTATTTTATATTTATTATTAATCAACCTACGCGTGTGCAAGACATTGGGGCTAACTTAAGAGCCCCTTTGGCGTACAATTATTATAATTATTATTATTTTTTTTTTATTATTGCCTATTAAAATTTGTGTGGGAAGGAGAAGGGTCATTTTACTCCAATTAATACTGTTTCTACCAATATTCAGAAGATTTGGTGTTATGTTTATTTAGATACTATAACTAATATATTTAAATGGTTTGGTTACCATAATATTATAAATAACTATAGTTATAATTAATTAATATATTATTAATTACTGCTTACATCAATAAAATAACGATTAATAATTTATTTTTCAGTATTGGTAATGATAAAATATCGGTTTCCAACGTCACATCGTCCATATCAATACCAAAAGGCAATAAAGAAGCGTTGATGAATAGTATTTTGGATAACTACCATGTTCGAAAACATAGGAAAACTCACAAAAAACCAAGTGATTATTTATTTATTTATTTATTTTCATTTACCAAAAATACCATTATGTTATATGTTATATGTATTATGAATACCAAATTGCTAACTATTAAAGTGTTATTTGACCTTTATAAATTTCAATAGAGATCAAAATAACGTATATGTTAGGTTATATATATTACAATATCACATTCTTATCTAAGAACGTGAATTTCAAATCTATCGCAATAACAATATATAACAAAGTTGTATGTTACTATATATGCAGCAGAAGCAAGTGTTGTGTTTATTCATTTTTTTTTTTTTTTATTGAATTTTCATATTATCATTTTTAATGTGCAGGGTACCGGGATTGCCGATTAGGCGTCTGGTCTGAATGGAGCGCATGTAGCGTGTCATGTGGCATCGGCGAAATGCAGAGACGCAGAGAAGTGATAAAACACCCAAGAGGAGCAGGACGGCAGTGTCCACCATTATTGCAGACCAAATGGTGTGGGAGTGCCAAAGACTGTCCCCCACAAACACATTTTGAGTGGTAATAATATAAGTTACAATAACATACATCATATTATGTTTTGTATGTTATTATAATAACATTATATCATAATATATGTGTACTGTACATCAAATTATTAATAATTATTTTATTTTATAAAAACGCCATTTGCCACACGACATTTTGATGGAAAATTAATCTAGAACTATAATTTTCAAAATTCCAAAAATACTTTTTACATAATATAACATATATTTTTATTTACAATGCTATGATTTTACGCCATAAGTATCGACAACCAAATCATGTAACTACCCTTCATACAATAATTTTTTTTTAAATTTTGTCTTGTTTTTTTTCAAGGCAGAGTTGTAAAATTTACTGTAAAATATTTATTTGTATAGATAAGGTATAGGTTTATCAAAAACTTAGTTCAATTTAAGACTATATCTTTATATTATATTTATTTACAACCGTACCTATGTATGTTAACTGTTAAGACATGCATTATATTATTTTTTTCCATTCAAGTGGTCAAGCTAATTATAAATTGTAATTAAAATTATGATTACGTTTTTGATATCAAATATGAAATTATTGTATGTATTAATTTTACAAAGGCAAAAATTTACTTAATCTTACCATTGCATTATTGAATGTCTAGCTCTTAGTGGTTTTTTTTTTTTGTCGAACGATATCACTATTATTAAAAAGACGTAATTAATATTGTTATAATGAGCAAAACAATTATTAGATTTTTTAAATCTATTGAAAATTAATTACTTATATAATTATTCATATTAATAACTTGTATCTTCTTTTTAGTATTTTATTGTGTAATATAATTTTAGGATACCACGTTCAGTATGATTTAAATAATTGTATTTTGTATAATATAGGCTATGTATTATGTACTCGTAATATCATTGATTATTAAATAATAATATGTATTTTTTATTTTAATGTAATTTTTAGTAATTTAATCAAACTGTTTATTTGTAATTTAGATGTATCAGAATTGTAAAAAAAACATATTTACTTATATCATAATGATACATAATACTTTAGGTAGTGAAATATAGTATTATAATTTATGGATTATGATTCATGATAAATAATATTCTCATACTAAACTTATTTTTTTTACTTAAAGAAAATGTGGCTATATCTATAATTTTCCATAAGTTGTAGTTATTTTTTCTAATTATTACTCTTTGACTGCGTAAATTAATAATACGAGTATTATAATAATAATTATTATTATAATATAAATACATATATTATTAATAATAAACGTAGTAATACTATTGTATTTATAATATAATATATCATATTATTATATAGACATTATATTCATAAACACTATTATATATCCTTTTATATAGTTATGGTACTTCTAATACAAAGGAAACTCCCTAGTTCCTTCGTATTTATTTATTTCTCGCATTCGGGATAAACATCTGAAAACTATATAATAGTCATTGAATAAGTTTTTTGATATTATTTCAATGCCTACCAACATTGAAGACAATATTGATAATTTTAACTTCAAATTCCAGAAACATATTATAAAATATATGATTTTTAGTAGCTTATATATATATTTTTTATTTCCCCTGTATTACGTACAATATAAGATGTTGACCTATGGGAGAAAGTATTTAAGTAATTATATATATGTTACAGTTAAAACCCGAAATCCATCGAAACTAGTTTTAACTAGTCAATACTAGTTTTCACAAATCCCTTTAGTCACTTCTAGTTTTAACTAGAATTCTATATAGAATCGGATGTAAGGATGGAATTCTAGAAAAACTTTATTGTAGGTGCGTCCATTATCACCTTTTTATTTACCAAATAAAATAAAATTAGTAATTAGTAAGTAATCAGTAAACATTTTTTCAGATCTGAATTTATAACATGTAAAGAAAAATTTATCACAGAGAATCAAATTCCAAAAAATCATATTTCCCTCCGTGCAGCCGCAACAAAAAACATCAACTGGCTCAGGGCAAGGCTTTGTAAAATGCACTTGCAAAACATCCTGCGGAATAAATCGTTGTTTATGTAAAAAAAATAAAATTCAATGTAATTCTAAATGCCATGATAGTTTGTCCTGCCGAAATAAATAATATAATAAAAGTCTATATTTAATAATTACTTAATATGTACTAAATGTTTCTACTATTCCCTAATTAAAACTAGTTTTACCTATCAATATAAATAATACGGATTTTATTAGATAACTCTAGTTTTCACTAATATAATATTTTAGACACAACTAATTCTAACTAAATAAAATAAATTAAAACTAGTTTTGACGGTGATAGTCTTAGTAAATTCTAGTTTTAACTAGTTAAAACTAGAAGTGACTAAAGGGGTTTGTGAAAACTAGTATTGACTAGTTAAAACTAGTTTCAACGGATTTAGGGTTTTAACTGTAACATATATATTGCATTGAAACACGAACTTTTGTAATGAATATTATAAACTAAAAGGTAAGAAAAAAAATGTATATTTATATATTATGTTTTAGATAATTTACAATGAATGCAACGATATTGCGAACGTTTTACCTTAATAAGGTACGCAGTATTCGGCGACCTATCTTTAAGAATAATTTATAATGCCAATTTATGGACGTATCTTTATTTCCAAAAGTCTAAATTATTGTAAATTTGTATGGAGAGTAACATTTACTCCGGGTCATACAGCCGGCTTGAGTAAGCTAGCCGTGACGGGCGATATCGGACCTATAGAGGTGCGACTATAATATAATTCTTTAGGGGCACTTATTATTATACAATTATTTACAATAATCGGGATGAGTCTGCAATACCTTTCCACGGTCTTGTGTAAGTCACGGCTAGGTGAAGCGGCTCAGAGTGAACACCTGAATAGGCGCGCCGGGAGGGCCTTTATTGACAGTCCTGAAAAGGACTTTTTTTACGGTCAATCGCAATGGTAGATCGGTTGAGAGAATGGGATGTCGCTGCCGTAACCACGAGGGGACACTGCATAGCCGATAGCTAGAATGGTGAATCCGCGTGTAAAGTCGCTTTGGAGGTGCGTCGGTGATAGTTATCGTATTTTATATCTTCGACGTTGTCGTCGATCGTAGTCTCCGTTCAGATCTTGACTTCGCCGCTGGAATGATCGTTCTCTAGTAAGATCACCTCCTCGTATTCACGAGTGTCTACTGAGTCTTGAGTCTTCACTTCTTCAGTTTCCAATTGTTGATTTTTTAGTGATATTCAGGTCGGAGACTGGATGAAAAGTGAATTTTTCTGTCCGAATGCACCGTATATATATTGGCTACCGTACCGAAGCGTAAACATCCTATTCGGGCGGCCGATTTTCTGCCTGTACGATTTCTTATGTTGTTCAGCCGGTATTTGTCCTACAAAGGTTGAATTAGTATCTTTGTGACGGCGATGATCTCCTCTATCCATAAATGTCTTTAATTTATTTATTGTTTAAATAGGTGACTGATAATCGCTTTTTAAAATGGTGCCTCCCATACAGCAAAGAAATATTGCATAAATATCCCTTGAAGATTCATTTATATATATGTATATCTATTGTATGTCTTAAATAACTCTGTACAAAATTTTTTTAACATACATTAGATATCTGTTATATGTCTTATGAACCAACTTTATTCATCTCTTGGATGTTCAGAGTGAAATATTCAACAGATATCAGATAAAAAATAAATATATGATATTCTTCTTATATCAAAGAAATATTAAATGTATATTCAATGATTATTAATTTAAGTGCAATGAGATATCTAATTAATATACTTTTATTATCAATAACATATCCATAAGATATCTGTTGCATGTCTTATGCACCAATTATCCACATCTCTTGAATGTTCAGAATGAGATATTTGACAAATATCATATAAAAATAAATATATGATATTCTTCTTAAATCAAAAAAAATATTAAATGTTTATTATATTCTGCAATGATTATTGATTTTAATACAATGAGATATCTAATAGGAGGACACGTCCAGACAAAACCTGATTTTTTCTTATTATACCTATGAACTATAAAACAATTATTATTATAAAATGTATGAAAATAAAATCTTTTAACATCAAAATTTTCAAAAAAATCAAACTTATAATAATGAGTTTAATTTTTCAAAAATAATAAATTAAAAATTTTTTTTTTTTACTTTTTTACCAAAACATTAAATTTAATTAGAATTTGAAATAATTTTAGACCTTTTACACTGAATTACAATGATTAAAATTATATGACCTAAAGTTATAAAAAATTGTATTAAATAAAGTGAACAAAAATATATCTTTGAATGAAATTCATTATTTTTATTTTTAAATCATAGTTGAATGGATATAATATAATGATTAATGACGTATTTATTATTATTTAATTTTTTTTTTCCAGTCTTCCTTTGGCACACGTTAACCATTTTCCGATTGAGGTGATGATTTCATCATCAGATGAATGTTTAATACTGGACTTGTTAACTGCTTCTGAAATATTAAAACTAAGTTTATACTAGAAAATAAGCATTTGAAGATTTATTAGACTCCCAGGAAATAAAAATATAAATAGCACGTATAACATATTTATACAGAAAAAACTAAACTACTAAATATTCAACAATTATATCAAAGTAAAAACTCAAAAATCAACTTTTAAAATTAAAATCAATGACATACCAAAAAAACTATACTTAACAACAATAATATTATAAAAATATTTTGGGGAAATAATAGTTATAGTTGCTCATGTAAAAAAATGTCACCCTTTACCCCCCCCCCCCTAAACATTTTTAAATAGTTTTTATTAAATACCACTTTTATTTAGAAGATTAAAAGTATTAAAACACGAGAACTGAAAAACTATAACAAGATATCAATAATAGATGTGCATGTTATTACCAAAAATTGCCTTATTGATAGCCAACAATGAAAAATTTTCTTTATTTCGTAGACCATAGTAGGTGTATGAAATCAAGACTTGGTCTTCAAAAACTTTTTTCATCATTTTATAAATCATGCTTTTCAATGATTTGCCACCTACTCTTGCAAGTTCCCACACCTGAAAACATTTTAATTTAGAAGATACAACAAATTTAATTTTTATACAAATAAGAAAAACATACAACTTGTTTTTTAAAATTAACATCCAATTTCATTTTTTCTTCCATATTGGTTAATCCTTCTTTTGTAGAAATAGGCCAATTATGAATGAAGTAGTCTATTTCGTGTTCCAATCTCTGATCACCTGCAGAACCTTGAAATATATTAACATTGTTTGATAGCTTAATATGCTCTAATATTTGTTGCTGATTGTCTGCAATTTTGGAAATTTCTATTTTTAAAAAAGCTAAGTAGCTTAACGTTGCTTTCTGGAAATCTAAGAAAAAGCAAGACGAACTAAATTATTAACAGAAACATTTTATATATTTGTAATTATTCACAATACAAAAAAATATTTAAGTAAAAAATAAATCTAATTGTATGACTAAATTGTTTATCAAATATTTGGTTTAACAAATAAAATATAATGGAATACTTTACCAATAAATGACTGAGAATGAACTGGTTCTATTTTTTGTGACTGTAGAGGCTGCAATTGTGGTAGAGTAGGAGTATCACAGTAATTATGTGTTACAGTTGAATTACTTAAACCTAAGACATAAGGTAGTTATAAAATAATATTGTTAATAGTTTGTTAATTGGTATTACTTATAACATAAGCTTTACAATGAACAGTAATATATAATATAATATCAGTGTACATTGATCATTAAAATCTATAATTATTTTAGTACAATATTATCTACATTGTTTTTTTAATTTTATATTTAAATTGCATTAGTTCAATTTATATATTGTTATGAGTGTATGACATTAACAAATTTACCTGATTTATTGTTCTGTGTATCTTCTGCAACCATACTCTCATCATTTACTTCACTCATATCTGCAGAAATGAATGATTATAATAAATAATATATATCACTTTCACGTTTTATAAAAGCTTAACATTATTTAGATAATGTAAATAAATAATTATTGCATTGCAGGTAAGCATATAATAAGTTTAAAATTAGTATGATACAATTAAACAAACCTTCAGTAAGCCAGATGTTAGTATTATCTTTATTTTCACCTTTGTTAATAGGTTTATAATCTTTATCGGCATCACTGTCATCAATCGTAGATACTGTGAAAATATAGTTTTACATAATGCAGATAAATAAAATAATTCAATAAATAATTATAAAAGAAATATTACTTTAAAACAGTAAATTCATCATATCAGACTTAACCTTTTTTTTTTTTTAACGATTTATTATTAAAAATAAGGTAAAATGTAATAAATATACAAATTTGACCAAATATAATATAGGCATATAATATAGCTTACAATTTTCAGAACTTTCGTCACTTTCACATAAGTTAAAACCATCATCATTCTTCACCATTATACAATTTTCATCAACATATTCCAAAGAATGATCTACAAAAATGATATTTTTGTTTTTATTTCATTATTAACTTAAAATTTTTGAACTAAAATGTTATACAATTTCTTAAAATAAACGAGTAAGTATATAATATGTTTAATATTTATTAAATAAATGTACATTACTACCTGGTAATAAAGAACTTCTTTTTTGCAAAATAGCTTCTACAGATTTGTTTAATGGATTTATGTTTTTTTGTTTTGTTTTGTAATTGTCTACGTCTGATACATCTGATGTGAACTTGGCTTTTTCAGCTTTAATGCGAGCTTCAGACAATAATGCTAATAAAAAATAAAAAAAGATTTATACATTTTTAAATGTGTTAATCTGCAATGCTTACCAATATCTTTAGAAATTACTCTACACTTGTAATAGGTGAAGTCGGATTTGTTGGGGTTTAATCGGTTTGATCTGAATTTTTTCAAATTCATATCATTGTTTGGCCATGCACATAACACTGTTATCCCATTTTTTCGTATCCAACCTGAAGGTACATAATCTACAGTATTGTCTGCAGTAAAATGTACTATGGCCCACATTATGATTCTATTATAACATAATATATATATATATATATATATATATATATACATTTATGAAAATATTAGGTAATTTTATGTTTTAATAATAAAAATGCTTTTAAAATATATAAAATATATTTTTAAATAAATGCATTTTTAAATTTTGCTTTGCTCAGTTATTAAAATAATAAAAAAAAATTGAACACATATGAAAATAAATAGTTAGTACCTACATATAAAAAAAAAAACTAAGTAGTATATTCAAAATTAACAACACTTAATATTAGAAAATTATATTAGTATATTTTATTTACATTTTTTACATGGATCATTTTATGTTTATATTAAAATGAACACAATTTAGTGATTAAAATGAATAATTGGAATAGCTACATCAAAATCTAAATCATGTGTAATTAAAATAACATACTTTGTAAATATATCTTCAATGTTATACTTGCAAATTGTTTTAGAAAAGTTGCTTACCTTATAAATACCCAGTTTATCACTTTTAATGGGTTTCTCAAACAATCTTTCAAGCCTATTGAACTGTCTACCTAATATTATATTTTTTTTTAAACATTGACAATAGCAAATATTGATCACTTTCACTAAGGCAAAAGATGAATTAATATATAAGCCAACATATGAGTCAGCATTGACATGAATTTTAATTTTAATTTTATCTAAAATTAAAATTTTAAATTGAGGAGATGTAGTGCCACTTATTAATGGACCTTCATTATGTTCTTTAACATATTTCTTTAACAAAGTTTCAGTTTTTTTTATTATTCAGGTTCACTGTGGGATTATCAATAAGATTAGAACGCTCTTCAAATCTTTTAACAACTTGTTGAAGAGGTTTATCACTTTTACGAACAAGTTTTTTTTAAGTGACCCATGTAGTTTTCAAATTTGAAACAACTTACACTATCTAATGAGCCAAAATTGTTATAATCATCGAACAAATGGATTAATGCATGCACATTATGAGAAATTAAGTGATTTCCATACAAACTACCAAAATCTTTGACAAACTTAAACATTAACAATTTAGCAAATTCAGCTAAATCTCTGAAGTTTGGGCTCAAATAAATAGTCATGGCTATACTTAAAGACAAAAAATGTTGATATAATTTTTTGGGCACAATTGAATGAATAGAAACAATTCCTACATATAAAAGAAATAATCTGTACTCTGTAGCTTTCCAGCGTGCCAATTCATCTAAGGATCTAGGTTTACGAACAAAATCGCATGGTATATATGTTTTAATTGATAAAAGTCTATCTGATATATTTTTAATTATTCGATTATTCAATTTTTGATTATTAACATCCCTCCTTTCAACTCTAAAGCTCCCCTTCCACAACATCAATATTTTTTTAACAACACCTAAACATACCACATGCATGTAATCTAATGAAAAGTTTTGTACAACATCAAAATTTGGAATGCTAATAATTTTAGTTACATCACCATCTTTGTGATATTGACGTTGAATTGTATTAATGAAATCTTCATGTGTTCTAATAGAACACCGTAAATCAGGAAAACATACACGCTTTAATAAATATTGACCTTTTACTGTACATCTAGCACAAGAATAAAAGCCAGTATGTGTTTTAGTTTTCAACACAAATGCTCGAGCAGGCGCATCACAACAAAATGTGTCAACTATTACTTTTTTATGAAAAAACAGTTAAACAGTTATTATTGTTAAATAATTCAACATCAATGCCATTTATTACAAGTTCTCTAATCTCAGACACAAAATCATTCAAAAAAAATATTGCTATCTTCTGGCTTGCTATAACCCCAATATATGCCAATAGGGAATACAGTTTCATTTTTTCTGTCGAATGTAACCTAATATTGGCCAAAATGCACTTCCCGAGGATTTCATCAAAGGCAATCCATCGATTCCGATCACTAATTTAATAGTTTCACTTGAAAATTGTTTATCAATATACTTTTTTAATACTATATCCTACACCAAAATGGTAGTAAATGCCGGGTGAAACTATCTTCGTTTTAACAGGTTTATCATAAGATACTCCTGAATAAGTTTTATAAAAAGTTCTACTAGAAACTGGGATATCGTTAAAGCATTTATGAGTATTCAATATTTTTTAGTAAACCGTCAAAAGAATTATTAGGTACATTATGTTCAGTAGCCCATTGAATTAATTTGGTAGAAAACGGTTGTTCTATTATGGTAGCATCGTAGTCATCATCAACACTCGTAACATTCAAATGTAGGTTTGAGGTGTTTGAAATAGTGCTAAGTTCGATATGATCAGATAGTTTGTTATTATAGGCGGTATTACATAAAGTTTCATTAGTATAATGTTCAATCTTCATAGGCAAATCATTACTTAACTGTAAAGGAATATTATTACTAACAGTTAACGGGGATGGGTTTTTTTAATTCATTTGAATCATTTGAATCATTTGTATCGGGCAAAATATTATTCGAACTATCAGTCAGATGTTGGATGAAATTTAATTCTTCTAATAACCTCCGTCGTTTGGTAGATTTACTTAAATTATTTGATCTCAACATATTATTTAGATTAAATAGTAATGTATTATCGTGAAAATATTTAATTACATAAATTATAAGTAGATAGGTGCAATAAAAAACAAGTGTAATAAATATATAGAATACTAAAGTAACATATCATATACTTACCTTGTCAAATGGACGTTCGGTGTATGTGCAAAGCGAATATACAGTTAAACAATGTTAAACACTAGTGTCTAGTTATACACGACCGAAAGACAATTTGACAAACTGACATCGAGTTACGGTCATCACTCATCAACATACGCGCATTCACAAGACGGCAACGAATAACGATCAACGATTGTTTTTTTCCAGTAATACGCTGCGTCGCGTCGCATTTTGGTCTTATATCTAATCACGCATGTGTCTCGATGCGGGCGAGCACGGTCTTAGAAGACCGTGCGGGCGAGTGTCATTTCGGTGTATTACAAACACTGTCTTAGATTATTACAAATATAATATGGATAACTAAAATGTGGGTATATATGATATTTTGTAAAATAAAAATAGCTATACCTATATGAAATATCATATAATGGAGATTGCCTAAATAAGTTATTATTAGTTATATTACACAAATATTTAAACGCCAACATATATAATATAATACAATATTTTATAGTAAACTGTAGTGTAATAATATAATACCGTATACATTATTGAACTATTCTATTTATATATTATCATTGTAATAGAAAAAATTGATAAAATAATTACATGCATAATATAATCTATATAAGTAAAAAAGTGCATAGAGTATGCAGTCGCGTTTACCAAAAATTATATTTTATACTAATAGGTTCTCCTATTTTCTATTTTTTTATTTTACGTTAAATTAAAGGGGTTTTTTTATAGTAATAACTTAATAAGTTAATATTCTTTTTTTTTACTGGTATTAGATATAATTATTTTTATTTTTATTTTTTATTCATGGTACAGCATCAACAGCTAAGGTTATTAGCTTGCAACAATTTATTATACATTAAGTTAATAAAGACCGTGTATTAAAAAATATAGCAACAGTTATTATTATAGTTTTATGCAATTTTCAAAAATTGGTTTTGTTTTAAATCAGGTACAATTAATTACCAAAATCTATATGTACACTAAAAAATCCATCCAGTTTTCATTATTTTATTATATAATGCTTTATCGTAACATTCATAACTATAGGTACGAAAACCATTGAAATAAGAATACACTTTTTTAATTATCATTAGTAATGGCTAATATTAGTAATTACCAGGTATAAACTTAATGTTAGGTAAATGTTTAGATACTTATATAAATAAAAATACGTAAAATACGTAAATAAAATACGTAAATAAAATACGTAGTACATCATAAACATTTTTTTTCAAATGTTAAATTTAAACAGCTGCCTTAGAAGTATTAAAACAAATTAATTTTTGGATATTACTTTGTTCATTATTAGGATATTTACCTAAGGTTATCACAGACTCCACACACTTT